TTGAAGTGCCACTGTTCACAGATCCAAAAGGAAGGGAAGTCTCCAGCAGGCCAGGAGGACCTTCAAATAAAGTCTGGGTAGGAATTTGAGTAGGAAAGTGCTTGAGAAAGCAGGCAGAAATTTAAGTTTCTTCAAAATTTTTTTTTTTTGGTCTTTTTGAGACAGGGTCTCCCCGTAGCCCCAGCTGGCCCAAGTGCTGGGATTAAAGGCATGCGCCACCACTCCTGGCTCTTCAAAAGTTCTTGATACTTAAGAGAGATTTACTTTAGGAGAGCATGTTTAATCCCAGAGCTCAGGAGACAGAGGCCAATATGGTCCACATAATGAGTTCCAAGCCAGCTGGGGCTACAGGGAGAATCTATCTCTCTCTCTCTCTCTCTCTCTCTCTCTCTCTCTCAGGCTTATTAGAGCCATGTACTGTACAGTTAACTCATTTGAGACTTACAATTCAAAAGCTTTTAATGTATCCAGATTTGTGGAACAATCAAAATCAATTTTAGAAACTTTTCACCGTCCCAGAAGGAAACCTCAGACTCCTTAGCTGTCACTGTCTTGTCTTCTCTAGCTCTTGGCAACAACCTTTGTCTTTATAGACTTTTTGCTTCTTTGACTCACTCAGTATGTTTTCAAGGTACATCCACATTGTAGTATTAGCTAGTACTACATTATATTCCTTCTTATTGTTAAATAATATTCCATTATATGAGCAGATCATATTTTGTCTGTGTTTACCCTTGAATGGAATTTCAGCAGTTTTCCTGTTAGCTGTTATGAATAGTACGGCTGTGTGTAGCTCTTCCTGTGGCCAGATGCTGTTGTATTTCTTGGGAGTAGATCTAGGAGTATAATTACTGAATTATATGCTCCTCTGTATTTAGCCGTTTGAAATACTGGCATGCTATTTTCAAAGTGGTGACATCATTTGACAACCCCACATGTTGTATGTGTGAGTTCCAGTTTCTCCATATATTCACCAACAATGATTATTACCTATCTTTTTTTGTAGCCGTCCTAGTGGGTATGACGTGATATTACACTGTGGTTTTAATTTGCATTTGCCTGATGAGTGATGAGAACATCCTTTGATGTTCTTTTCAGATAGTTACATGTCTTGCTGGAGAAATATCTGTTCAGATTCTTCTCCCATTTAAAAGTTGGGCTGCCTTTTATTTATTGTATAGTCATGTTTATGGAGAGGAGCTGTAGAATCTATTTAAATAAGCTGGAAATTTTTGGGGAATGGGGATCCCTCCTCCCCCCCATCTTAGGTCAGTTCTGGGTAAAATATTTTAGAATTACTGTGCCTTCTCATTTGATAGCTTAGGTTAGGAGTGTAGAGATAAAAATCCCTACCTTAAAAGAACTGGAGATAAGCAGGGCATGGTGGCACACACCTTTAATCCCAGCACTTGGGAGGCAGAGGCAGGCAGATCTTTGTGAGGTTGAGGCCGGCCTGGTCTACATAGTGAGTTCCAGGACAGCTGGGACTACAAGGAGACCCTGTCTCAAAAAAAAGACCAAAAAAAAAAAAAAAAAAAGAGAACTGGAGCTATAGTTCAGCGAGAGTGTTTGAGTTTTACCCCCAGACTTGTGGGAAAGAAGTCTCCACTTTGATGGGGTTCATTGAAGCAATGGGAAGTTGTAGGTGAACAGCCAGTTAGACTGTGACTCTGAGAAATAAAATTTACACATAAAATAAAAATAGCAAATAAAATATTAAAAAGTTCCAGTTTCTGTTTTTATTCAACTTTTAAATTTAGTTCGGCTTTCTATGTGTATGAGTGTTGTGTCTGCATGTGTAGTGCCCTGTGTTGTGCAGTGCCCTCGAAGGACAGAAGAGGGTGTCAGATCCCCTAGAACTGAAGTTATGGATGGTTGTTAGCTACCATGTGGGTGCTAGGATTTGATTCCAGATCCTCTGCAAGAGCAGCCAGTACTCTTAACCACTGAGCCCTCTCTCCAGCCCCGGAAGGTTCCAATTTCTGTACACCTTCATCAACATTTGTTATTTGTTTATTTACATATTCATAGGGTGCCAAGAATCAAATTTAGGAAGCCTCATTATGCTAGGCAAGTGCTCTACTTATTTTTGTGAGACAGGGTAGCCAAGGCTGGACTCAAATTCACTATGTAGCTGAGGATTACCTTGAACTTCTGATCTTCCTGCCTATAGTTCCTGAGTGCTGGGATCATAGGTGTGCACCACCCTGCCTTGTATATGCTGGGAATTGAACTCAGGCCTCATGCATGCTAAGCAAGCATTCTACCAACTAAGCCACATTCCCTGGCCTGTTTTTTTTTTGTTTTTGTTTTTATTTATTTTTTAAATTATTAAAATCATTTTTGTTTTTTATGTATATGAGTGTATTGCTTGCATGTATGTAAGTACTCCTGTGTTGTGCAGTGCCCAAGGAGGTCAGAAGAGGGTGTTGGATCTCCTGGAATTGGAATTACAGACAGTTGTTAGTTGCCATGTGGGTGCTGAGAACAGAACCCAGGTCTTCTGCAAGAGCAGTCAGTGCTCTTAACTGCTGAGCCAACTCTCTAACCCCTGTTTTTGTTTTTAAATTGAGGAGGCAGAGGTAGGCAAATCTCTGTAAATTCAAGGCCATCCTGGTCTACATAGCAAGTTCTAGGCCAGCCAAGGTTTTGTAGTGAGATCCTGTCTCAACAAAAAAAAGTTGTGGCTATCCTAGTGGGTATGAAATAGTGTCTCCTTGTTATTTTGTTGTTGGTTTTCATTTTTTGAAACAGTCTTGTTATGTGGCCAACGCTGGATAATGTAGCCCAGGATGGCCTCAAATTCATGATCCTGCTCCTTTAGCCTCCTAAATGATGGGATTCTAGGTGTATACCACCATGTCCAATTTCATTATAGCTTTGATAATTCTTTCCCTAAGAATGGTGTTACATATCTTCATGTGCTTATTGGCTGTTTGGAGATCTTGGGAGAAATCGCTGACAGATGGTTTGCTTCACCACTGAGCTTCATTCCCATCCTTATTGCTCATTTTTAAAAAAAGTTTGAAAACGAATATTTATTTTTATTATATGTATTTGTTGTTCTTGGTGCTGTGCTACATGAGGGCATTTTTATACAGGTGTATATGGTAAGTTGAGCACGTTCATTCCCCCACTCCCTCCCATTAGTCCTGTTTGTTCCCAGACAGTTTCATTTGTACTTTCATGTCATTCACACACATGATTTTATGTATGTATATAATCTAGGGGCCACATATGAGATAAAAACATCTGACATTTGTCTCTCTGAGACTGGCTCAGTTCACTTAATATGATTATCACCAGTTGCTTCCATTTTCTTGTAAACAATGTGACTCCATGGCTGGAAAAAATTTCCATTGTGTATTTACACCACATTTTCTTTATTCATTTCTTCCTTGTGGCTCCATAACTTAGCTATTGTGACTAGAGCTCCAGTAAACACTCATGGGCAAGTATCTGTGTAAGTTGACTTGGAATCCTTCAGGTAACTACCCAGGAGTGATGTAACAGGGTTATATAGAAGATCAGTTTTTAGTTTTTTTGAGGAAACTGCACACTGATTTCCATAGTGCTCAAGGGCGTCTACATTCCTACCATCAGTATATAAGTGTTCCCTCTTGTCCACACCTTCACCAACATTTGCTGTTATTTGTCAGAATTCAAATATTTTAAAATAATGTGTAGCAGGTACTCTTTCCCAATGGTAACATTAAGGAAGAAGACCTTTTAATCATGTACTTAAGCAAGCCACCAAGGAAATAAGATTAAATCTCAAAGATGCCTAGGTAGGCAGGTAGTTAGATTGTTCAACAGTATTGGCTGAAAGAACTAGGACAGAGAAGTTTGATTAAGAGAATTAAAGAAAGGTCCAAACTAAGTGTAATCTGAAAGAAAAAGACTGACTGGTCAGAGATAGCCTTCAGCTGTGTGAGTCTGCTTGTTTCCTTACTTCTTTATTTACCAGGTTCTCACACCCTCTGAACTGGGAGCAGAATTTTAAGCCATTTGAACAAATATTTGTGTGCTTGATAATGTCTGCCTTCATTCTATTTTGTGTGTGTGTGTGTGTTTGTGCATGCACCTGTGCATATGTAGGTGCATGTATGCATATGTTCATATGGAGGTTAGAGGATAATCTTGGGTGTTGTTCCTCAGGCATGCCTACCTTTTTTTTTTTTTTTTTTTGAGCTAGGGTCTTTCACTGGCCAGGAGCTTGGTGAGTAGGCCAGGCTGGCTGTCCAGCAGCCCCAGGGATCTGCCAATCTCTGCCTCCTCAGCACTGGGATTACAGGTGGACACCACCACACCCAGCTTTTATTTTAAACATGGGTTTTGGGACTTGAGCTCACATCATTGTGCCTATATGGCAAGCACTTTTCTGACTGAGCTGTCTCCTGCCTGTGCCTTGTTAGACTATCTTTCTCATCTTCCACCTCTCTCCTTATATCTATGCATCAGACAATGTAAGGGTAATTCAGTTGTATTTACCAAATAAATGTTGACTTTCCTATATTTCAGGGACTACACTATAATGTTTTATTCCATATTTTATGAAAGTGACCAGGGTAGTTATGATTTTCTGCAACTGTGTTTTCCAAAAATCTTTGTATTGGTAATGGCAAAAAGATATAACCAATTAAGAACTACTGTTCTTGGGATAGGTTGAAACTCAGTTGGCTGGCATGCACAAAGCCCTGGGTTTGAACTCTATTGTGTCACAAAATGGTGTGGTAGCATACACCTGTAATCCCTGTACTGAGGTGGTAGAGGCAGGAGAATCGGAAGTTCAAAGTCATCCTCAGTTACATAGTTTGAGGCTGGCCTGGGCTGTATGAGAGCCTGCCTCAAAGACACAGTGCACACACACGCACACACAAAAAACAACTCACAACAACAAAAACCCCACCACTCAGGACAGTCAGGATTATTCATGAGCCTAGTAGATTTATTTTGAACTATCTCAATTGCTCTGCTGTTTTTCTCTTGTTTTTTTATAGCCACTTCCTGAGAAGTTTGTAGTGAAAGGTGTCGTGGATCGTTTTTCAGAAGAGTTTGTGGAGACCAGAAGAAAAGCTTTGGATAAATTCCTAAAGAGAATTACAGATCATCCTGTGCTGTCTTTCAATGAACACTTTAATGTCTTTCTTACTGCTAAGGTATAGACAGAATTTTGTATATTTCTTCTCTCAAATTATTCTTAGGGCTCTTTTCTTAAAAATTGTTTTGGTCTCTCATAAGCCACTTGGAGAAATGGCCTTCTGTGGTACGTATCATAAAGTTGCTTGAGCTTTCTGGTGCCCATTGCATTGACATGGTTTTTGTGTTAGAAAGCAACCCCACTGCTTGAAATAGCAATAGAAGTCAGTATTTGTGCTTGCCAAAAGCAGACGTAAGTGTTTTCTTCAACACTTCTTGGCCGTATTATTGGGCTAAGGCTCACCAGCAATGGCCACAAAGGGGAAAAAATATTGAATGTTTGATAGGTGTATTCTTCAGGGTTGGAGGTGGCTCAGCAGGAAAAGCACTTTGCATGAAACCTAATGACCTGAGTTCACTCCCAGAGCCCACATAGAGATGGAAAGAGAGAACCAACTTTACAGAGTAGTCTTCTGACGTCCATACACATACCATAGCATGTACACACCCAGGTACGCATGTACTCCCCAACCCCCATCACACATACAATACTAATAATAAAGTTAAAAAAAAAAAAAAAGAGTACTCTCCATAAGTACCCTGTAAGTAACTGTAGCTCATTTTTCAGGCAACTGAAGTTCAGAGAGATTATACCGGTTCAGGGGGTGTCTCTAGGATTTGAAATAGGGTCTTATGGCTCCTGAGGCCTCACTTTCCATGTGTATTACAAGGCTTGCCTGCAGCTCTGTTCCTATCAGGTGTGTTTTCCAAGCATTTGCCAGAAAAATATTTGGCTTCCACCGAGTTGCCAGAGACTGTATACTGAAGTTGCTTTTCACTGGCTTGTACTTCACTGTCTGGTGGTAGAACTGACCTGAAACCCGAGGTGCTCTCCTCTCACTGTGCAGGAATGGGGTCACACACCCAGACTCTCTCACAACTTTCTTCCAGCCCACATGTCTGGTTTCAGATTCCTGTAGTCAGGCCATATATAATATGTTCCATTGACTGGGGTATTGAAGTCCAGGTTCTGTCCATTTTTCTTTGTTAAAATTGAAAAAAAAAAAAGGAGACATGTACAGGTAACAGCAGCTGATATTTAAGGCTTCAGGGAGGATTTCAAAACCACCTGACAAAGTCCTTTAGTTTTTTTTTTTGAAACCTCAGTTGACCTTGGCGACATCCTATTCACTGTCTCCCCCTACAGGCTGAATAGTTATAAGTGTTTCTCAGTGTACTGATTCTTGAGGGTAAATCTTTCAAATTGTATTCTTTTTTCCCCAAAGTACAAGCCACTTTCTCAAGTTGCAGATCCTTTGTCCAGAAGGCCCTCAGGCTGTCTTCTTTATTGGGTGAAGTTGGTGGGGCATGTTGTGGCTTCTACCCTTGGTTCTTAGGACTCTGCATGAATAAGTGAGAAATAAGCGAATAGAGGATTAGAGGAGGGAAGGAGGGAGATGGATTAAGATTTGGGGCAAAGTTTTTAAAAATGTGTAAGGCCTTTAGCATCCCCATCAAATTCCAATTCCATGCAAATGAATGCAGGAGAACTGCCTTTAAATAGGACAGATTCTAGTTGGGGATGGTGGTACATACCTCTAATCCCAATTTAAGAGGTAGAGGCAGGAGGATCAGGAACATAGTGAATTGAAGGCCAGCCTGGGCTACATTGGTCCCTGTCTCAAAAAACAGAAAGCAAAGGAAAGAAGAAAAAAAAATGATCAAATTGTAGCCCCAGTTTAGTATCTCACTTGCCAAACTAAATGCACTGAGCAGCCTATTCTCTCTCTCTCTCTCTCTCTCTCTCTCTCTCTCTCTCTCTCTCTCTCTCTCTCTTTTGTCTCTTTGTAGCCTCAGCTGGCCTGAAAATTGCTATGTAGACCAGATTGGCCTTGAACTCACAGAGATCTGCCTGCCTCTGCCTGCCTAGTGCTGGGACTGAAGGTGTGTGCTACCACACCCAGCTTCTATCTTCTTTTAAAAGTGTTTTTCAACTATGGTTAAATACATGCGATGAAAAACTTAACATTTTAATCATTTCTAAGTGTACAGACCAATAGTGTTAAGTCTATTCACACCTTTGTGTAACCAGTCTCCAGAACTTTTCCACCTTGCAATTCTGAAACTCTGTATTCATTAGGCAACAGCTCCATTCTGCCCTCCCCCCGTCCCCCACCACTCTAGTTTTTTCCTTTAACATATGGTTCTGTGAATTTTTCCTTGGGGAGATGTGAACAAACATCTATTCCCACCCCCGTAGGACACCATTGACAGACCAAAGTAGTGATTCCACTAGAGCCCAGCTTGGCAAGCCAATCAGTTTATTGGGTTTTACTTACAGATCATGGGTGAGGAGTTACTTATAGGAGTATGTGACCCTAAAATAGCCACACCATGGAAAAGTCTCACCCTAGTCACCAGGGATGATGACTTTCCCATAGTTGCATAGATGGAGTCTTCCTCTCTGTTAATCACCTTCCATATTGTATTTACTCTCGCCTAGACCTTTAAGTCACACATGTAGTTGGGAGGGAGGTGTGGGAAAGAGTGATGGTGTTTTCAGGCATGTGTAAAGAGCTCTGTCATCCATCAGTTATTCATTGTCTACCAGGTCAGGTCATAAAAAAGCCATAGCCTTGCTCTGTAGCCCCCTCTAGAGTACTGGGAATTAGCATTCTGTTTGTACGGTGCAAGCCATAGCAACAGACACCTGTATCTTCTAGATACCATTTTTGAAGGCACTATTAGGTGACATAGGACAATCTAAAGATACAGCTTAGGAATAGGAACAGGCTTGTTTCCCTGGTAGGCTAATAAGTTCTTGTTTTTAAAATTTGTATTATGGGAACTGGAGAGATGGCTCAACAGTTAATCTGGCTGCTCTCATAAGTGGAGGCCAGAAGAGGGCCTCAGGTCTTCTGGAGCTGGAGTTATGGCCAGTTGTTAGTGGTTGTTAGCTGCCCTGTGGGTGCTGGGAACCGAAGTTGGGTCTTCTGTAAGAACAAACAGTGCTCTTAACCGCTTAGCTGCCTTTCCAGCCCCTGGTGTTGTTTTGATACAGGGTTTTACTTTTTAAAAAATATTTAATTTATTTTTTATTTTATGTGTATGAGTATATTGCCTGCTTTGTATGTAAGTACACCTGTGTCATGCAGTACCCAAGGAAGTCAGAAGAGGGTGTTGGGTCTGTAACTCCCCTGGAGCTGGAGTTACAGATGGTTGTTAGCCACCATGTGGGTGCTGGGAATTGAACCTGGGTGCTCAGCAAGAGCTGTAGTGTTCTTAACCGCTGAGCCATCTCTCCAGTCCCAAGACAGGGCTTTACTCTTTAGCCCAGGCTCGCCTAAGCTTCTGATCCTTCTTCCTCAGCCTCCCAAGTACTGGAATTATAGGCATGGTTCACTTTACTCAGCTCTAGTATCTTTTTAAATTTGGATATGATGGGTTTGCCTTGACCCACAGAAAATTCAGGATTAAAAGTTTTGTTTATAGTGTCAATCATTTGCCTGCGTTTTCTAGCAGTGGTTTGGTTCCTGTTTCCTCTCAACTCTCTAACCCTCCACCAAATGAGTTAATGGAATCTCAGCTCTTTAATTTGTCCTAAAGACAGCACAGAGTATTTTTGCCAGATATTTAAAAATTACATGAGAAATAATGTTGTGTTTCAAGGACAGAGAGTAGTTTTGACTAGAGTGTTTGGAGTCCAGCTTTGTTGACAGGGATCTGGAGATAAGAGTGTGGAATGTGAGTCTGGGGGTCTGTTGTATAGCATTATCCTCCAAGCATAAAGGTTGTCGTCTTCATCAGAACAGCTCTGACTACTTGCAAGAGACCCTCAAGATTTGGCCTGTTGACTGACTATTGATGTTTCCTCATAGAAGGAGAGGTGTGTGTTTGGGGGTCATTGGACTTTCGCCTGATCTCGGTCACCCCCTCCTGCACCTTCTGGCTAGCTGTGTATAATTCTGCCCTAATTGCACATTGCCTCATGTTCTTGGGAGGTGTGGAGTGTATAGACTGTATAAGATTAACTGAAGTGGCGGGGGGGGGCTCCGGCTCTGGAGCTCTAAGGAAGTCATTTATGCAATAATGAGACTTTCTGGTGGGGCTTTGGGGTCACTCACTCTACTGTGATAACCCCTCACCCATATTCTATAAGTAAGCCCAATAAACTCATTAGCTTCTCAAGTTGGATTTTGGTGGTATGTTGGTGCCCTGTAAATGGGGATAGACATTTGTTTATGTCTCCACAAGGTATCAGTTCCAGCAACAGGGTTGTGATGCCAGGCAGGGACAGAATGTGTCTGTGACCCCACATAACCCCTTGCTTTCTCAATCTTCCATTTCCAACAAGACATTGCCTTTAGGAGCCAGTTTACTCAGCTCTGGCAGTACAGGTGATCAAGTGCTTTGTTGGCCACAGGACCTGAATGCCTATAAGAAGCAGGGGATAGCGTTGCTGACCAGAGTGGGCGAGTCAGTCAAGCATGTCACCGGAGGCTACAAGCTGAGGAGTCGGCCTCTGGAGTTTGCAGCCATAGGTGAATACTTAGACACTTTTGCACTCAAACTGGGAACCATTGATCGTATAGCCCAGCGGATCATCAAAGAAGAAATAGGTGAGCTCGATGTTGACACTGATGATGCTTGGGGTGGCAGGAGTGATATTCTTATGTGCCAGACTAAATCAAACTGCAATGACAGAACCAGGCCATATTCTTGCAAACAGTTAATACAAAGAAGGGGAGGAGCTGGTTGTGGCTAGGATGTAACTTTGTACCCTGTCCTTTGTTCTGCACTCTGTGTAGAGTTTGTTTTTCCCATGCCTTCTATACACAGGAGCAATGATTACAAAAATAAACTTAGGAACCTTTCTGGCAGAGAGATGGTTCAAAAGAAGAGTGTGGTGATGAGTGTTTCCCAAGGCCTTTGAACTTGAAATCCCCCACCCTGGCCTGCTTTATTTCATTTCCCACTCCTGAGCTGTAGGTTGCTTAGGCCTGAGTCTGTCCTTCTTTGAGGTTACCACCACTGCCTGTCCACTCATCTCTTCCTCTGATATGCCATATCCCAGAAATAGTGGGGTCTTTTGTCTAGGCCAGACACACCTGATCATGCCAATAAGTCACACAGGGCTCTTCAGCCACTGTGGTCCCTGTAATTAAACAATGACAACTACACCTACATTGTTACAATGACAGGAGTCCTGGTGACAAATGATGGGCCATATTTATTTACCTTGTAGGTATGAAGAAATCAACATTTTTTCTTTATTCCTTGCAACTGTGGATAGAACCATTGAGTGAGTCAGTGAGAGAATTAGTCTGCCTCTGTAAGACCACATCTCTTTCAGCAAAGTGTTCTGTATAATTCCATGTTTTTTCCATTGTGACTGTTTTTTTTTTTTCTTAAAAGACCCCCTGAACCTATACTAAAGTCTGCCCCCATTGCCTGATAAAATGCTGCTTTTGTAATATGGTAGTTATTATTGAAGATGTTTGCTGAACTTAGCTCTTAAACTATTTTTCCCCAGCATTTTGGTCCCCATTATCCAGAGGCCTGGATGTTCTGATGTTACTGATAACTTACATTAGCTTTTAGAAGTTTTAAAAAGTTCGTTCCGTTGTGAGCCTGAGCCTTTAATGGCTGTGCCAGCTCTCCAGCTGGGTGTGGTGCTGCATGCCTTTAACCCCAGCACTTGGGAGGCAGAGGCGGGTGGATCTTTGTGAGTTCAAGGCCAGCCTGGTCTACATAGTAAGTTCCAGGACAGCTGGGGCTACGAGGAGACCCTGTCTCAAAAAGACAAAAAAAAAAAAGAAAAAAAAAAAGTTCGTTCAGAACAGTATTATTCTTAAAGGAGAGATGCCCAGGAGAGGGAATGGCCATGGCAGTGCATCTTGTGGAGAGCTCCTGGTCATGGTGATTCCTGAGTTGGTCAGCTAGCTATTAATTGGCTTTTCTTCCTCTTTAGAGTACCTTGTAGAACTGAGAGAGTATGGGCCTGTGTACTCCACATGGAGCGCCTTAGAAGGTGAGCTGGCTGAGCCCCTGGAGGGGGTGTCAGCTTGCATCGGGAACTGCTCTACAGCCTTGGAAGAACTGACAGACGACATGACAGAAGATTTTCTACCTGTGCTTAGGGAATACATTTTATATTCTGACTCCATGAAGGTAAGCTGGTTTGCTTCTTGGGTACTTAGATATTTTCTTTTTAACTGTCATCATCCAAAAACAATGAATTATTGCCAGCTTGCATGTAGTACACTTTCCTTCTTTCTAGGTGGGCAGAATCAGACATGTGGACTCATATTGTGGACATACAAAGAGGACATATGGTGAACCAAGGATGTGAATTAAGTGGGGAAAAAGATTGGAGGAAAAGTTTTTTGATTTATTTATTTAACTTTATGTGTATATGTGTGTGCCTGAGTGTATGTATGTGCACCACATGCATGCAAGCATTTCTGAGTTGCCATGTGGGTGCTGGGAACCAAACTGGGTCCCCTGGAAGAGCAGCAAGTACTCTTAACTGCTGAACCATCTCTCTGGCCCTGGAAGAATTTTTTTTTTATTAATATTCTCATACCAAAGAGATGTAATAAGCACTAAACAAGACCGGGGTTGCTAAAGTAAAGGGATGGTTAGATAATGAGCTCTTGGAAATTAAAACATTTGTTAAATAAAATTGGTGAAGTTGGAAAACAAGATTGAAGAAATCCTGGAAAGGGGCTGGAGTGATGGCTCAGCACTTTAAGAGAGAGTACTCCTCTTGCAGAGGACCCAGATTTGGTTCCCAGCACCCAGTTGGTGGCTAGCAACTGTCCTCAACTCTAGGACACCCGACAATCTCTTCTGGCTTCCATGGACATTGCACACACAGGTACACTTACATACATGAGGCAAAACACTCATAAAATAAAAATAAAGAAAAGTTTAAAAGAATAATGAAATTAAAAATAAAGAAATCTAGGAAAGTTAGACCAAAAAAAGTAGTTGGGGAGTAAAAAGTATGAAAGAAAGATCATGGACAAAGGAGATTGAGCTCAAAGGCTCAGCATCAGGCTCAGAATTCCTGGTTGAGAGAACCTGAGGACAGGAAACTATGAAAGAGATAATAAAAGAAAACTCCTAAAACTGAAGAGACAAGAGCTGAAGAGACAAGTCTTCAGATTAAAAAGAATGTGCTAATTGCCCGCAAATGAATGAAAGGAGAACCAGTCCAAAGCATGATTGTGGAACCTAAAGGGAGAGAGAGGAGATTCATAAACAATATCGGGATAAGAATGCCTTTGGTCTAGCAGCAATGAATGAGAAAAACTAAGCTAGCTATGAAGACAAAAGATTGCTATCTCCAACTCTCTAGCATAAGGGTGGAAATATGGAATAAAATGCTTTAATTCTCATGCCAGGAGCTCTCCCAGCCTTCACAGAGACTGGCTGAGAACACAGCTTCAGGGGGCTCCTATGATAGTGGCACCAGGCAGAAAAGGATCTGTCTTGGCCTGACAGCATGAAAAGATACAGGGCTCCATGTTGAACAGGCCACCCCCAAGCAGCCCCATCCTGCTTCCAAAGGAGACCTCAATTTTTGTGGGGGCAGGTCTTGGGTATCACAAATGAATGATTTGTATGGGCTGGTCTGAATCTAGCAAGAAACCTGACAATGTTGGACTGTAAAAAAATAGAAAACCACTGGGCTGGAGAGATGGTTCAGTGGTTAAGAGTACTCATGGTTCTTGCAGAGAACCCAGGTTTGATGCCCTCTTCTGGTCTCTTTGGCATTGCATGCATGTGGCACACTTACATATATGCAGGCAGAACACTCATAAATTAAAAATAGAAAACCGAGAAAGAAAATCCTAGAACTATAAAAGGTTTCCACAGCTTGAATGGGGGAGTTTAAAAAAGAATTGACTAGTTATAAGAACTTTTTAAAAACACTGTATCATCGTCATCATCTTGGTGTTTTGGAGTAGGATCTTATGTAACCTAGGTTAGCCTCAAATTTGCTAAGTAGTCAAGGATAGTCTTGAACTCTTGATCCTTCTGCCCAAGCACAAATATATATGGAGTATTAACTAATTGAGATTACAGGTAAGCACCACCATGCCTGGCTCAGAGGTGCGCTTGGTTGGTAATTATTAGAATTGAGGCTGAAAATCAAAACTTCTTGTTACAAATGTGCAGCTCATTCGCACATGTTATATTGCCTTAATTTCTTTTCAGTTGTGTGGCTGAAGTAAGTACAGGAAGGCATCCCCAGTTGCTTAAATGAACCAAGGTATTTCACTTTGCTTGTGAAGTTAACAGTGGTTGCTTTTGTGAACAAAAAGTAAGCTTTTACAATTCTTGGAGTGCCCCTGGATTTCTCTCTCCCACTCTCTCTCTGTGCCTCTCTCTGTTTTTGTTTTGGGGATTTTTTTTTTTTTTTTAGACAGGGTCTCCCTGTAGCCCCAGTGGCATGGAATTCTCTATGTAGACCAGGCTGGCCTTGACCTTACAGAGATCTCCCTGCCTTTGCCTCCCATGTGCTGGGATTAAAGGTATGTACCACCACATTGGATTTATCTTGTATGCATATTCTTCATGTGGATGCTCCCTGACTTTGTTTAAAGTGAAAATCCAGTGCACGTGGCAGTTTTAAGATATTATAGTACAAATCGCTCTGTTCTTGCATGTGACAAATACGTTAGTTCTCAATATGTGTTTGTGCTTAGATCAGGATTTTAAATTGTTGTTAAGGATTTATCTTGCAACTTTTTTTGGTCTTTTTTGAGACAGTCTTCCTATAGCCCCAGCTGGCCTGGAACTAGGTATGTAGACCAGGCTGGCCTTGAACTCACAGAGATCCACCATGCGAGACATTACCTGGCATCTTAATTAAAATATGACTATACTGTGCGACATAGGTTTGTGTGAGCAGCTGAAGTCATACATCAAAGAAACATTTGTTTGCTCTCTTTCTTCACCCCACATGTGAGGCATGTGTAATGGGGCAGGAATGGGATTGTCTACAATCCCATTGTCTACACAATGGGATTGTGTTCTTGGCAAGGGCAGGGTAAAGAGGAAGTGCTGACTGGCAGTCTTTGAAACCTGAGCTCTGGCCGAGGGCCAACTGAGGTAAGCCCAGTGAGTAAGAAAAAAGGTCATCTGCTGCCCCTCTTGGCACCAGAAAGACACCTCAGCATACTGCTCTGGGACATGCAGGGGTAATTTGACAACAAAGCCAGAACTGCACAAAAGAGTGTTAGGGCCTGGGCTAAAGACTTGGAGGCAGTGATGGGCGTCTTCAGTGGCTCTCTTGTCTTTGAATACTGTTGCTCTTTAAGAATTCTTTACTTGCTGGGTGTGGTGGTGCACGCCTTTGATCCCAGCAGAGGCAGGCAGATCTTTGTGAGTTCAAGGCCAGCCTGGTCTACATAGTGAGTTCCAGGACAGCTGGGGCTACAGAGAGACTCTGTCTCAAAAAGACCAAAAAAAAAAAAAAAAAAAGTTTTACTGTGTTTTATTTTCCCAAGAGATTGTATAATTTTTTTCCGGTAGTTTAGATATGTGAGAGAGGCTTTGCTATTTGTCAGGAAAACTAAAATTGGAAGAGAGAACTTGTTGCAGGTCTGGATGTGACCTTTTATTCACACCTCCTGGATGGCCTCAGAACTGACAAGGTTCTGCTGGTTTTGCTTTAGTGGTAGTTTCTGGTTCAGGCTTTGGGGAACCAAAGTCTTTGTCTTTGTCATTTAGTCAGCAGCTTTTGCCTTTGAGATTAATAGTAGGTAAGTATAGGTTTACCTGTGAATGGAGAAAATGTTTGGGCTTCTTGAAGTCCTCTCCTAATTTGGATTCCTCTGAATTTGAAAGGGCCTTTCAGATCATCTCATCTAATTAGTTCAGTTTATAGGTGAAGAAACCAAGCCCTGTAGGTAAACTTTTCTCGGTGTGGTTACAGACAATACTCCCCAGTGACTAGTCACCTAAGAGCTATGTGTTGGCTACTTGCCAAAAGGAAAACTAGGTAACCTCTAGGTTTGCAAGACTAGCCCTCTGATTGTATCTTAAGGACAGTTGTGGCTAGGTATGTTGTGTTATCTGTAGAGTTGGAGAACAGAACATAGAAAAAGTGAGGTCATTATCAGACCACATATATTTAGATTTTCAGGCAGTGTACATGGAGACCAGCTAGCACTAACTACAAAGATGGCGAAAGCATGTTGGAATGATAAGAAGACAGAGTCCAGAGCTTGAGAGGGAAGAGTACTTGAGACATTCTGTAAACATGTACTCGTGAGCCCTTGTATGGGATTTCACAGCCTATAGGTGGTGTGCACGTGCAAGTATAATCCAGACAGTGATGGGCTGAGAGAAACCTTTGAACTGGTCCCTTAACAAATTTCTTAGAGGGCCGTTTAAGTATTGGGTCAAAAGGCCAACAGGTAGAGGAACCTTATTTAAGAAAGTTAAGACAGGACTATCTTTAATTTTTTTTTTGATTTATTTTTATTTTATGTGTATGAGTGTTATGTAAGTGTACCCAGGCAGTGCTTGTGGCTCAGTAGATAAAGTGTGTCTTGGCAAGTGTAAAGACATGAGTTGGGACTCCCAGAACTCACATAAAAGCTGGATGGGTGTGGTGGCCCACTTGTGTTTCCAGTGCTTCTAAGGTGAAGATAGGATCCCCAAAGCAAACTGGCTAGCTAGACCTTGCCTCAATGAATTAGCATGGAGGAGAGCAATTGAGGAAGACTCCCAGTGTCAACTATACACATGCAAACATGCATACATACCATACACATACATGCAAAAAGTGGGGCGGTGGGCTGGAGAGATGGCTGAGCAGTTAAACAAGTCTGGTTCCTTGCAGATTAGAAAACCCAGTGTGAGTAGAAGTTGTGAGCAAGGGAGCACATGGCCAGAGGTAAAGTCAAAGAGAGAGAGGGCCCAGGGCAGTTAGCAGTAACTTAAAGACCATGGTTGGTAAGAGTCTGGATTCTATTCCAAGAAACAGAAGGAAAGCTGTTCTAGTTTATTTCTGTTGCTGAGATAAAACACTTTGGTGTACCCTTCCAGGTCACAGTCCACAGTTGGGGGAAGTCAGGGCAGGAACTCAAGCAGAAACCTAAAGCAGAAACCAGGGAGCAGCACTGCTTGATGGTTCACTCTTAAGCTCATGC